TGTGGCCTTGTGATACAAATAAATATAAAATGGGAAACCAGCCTCGATATTCCTGTCCTCAGTGAGGAATACCTAAAGGAGTTTTTTTCCATAGCATTGGGATGACACAGGTTAATTCTCAATCAAAAGAAAGTCTGCCTGTGAACATTTAAGTAGTTTCCTCAAGTTTAGAATTTAATTAATGTTTTTAATGACTTTTTTTTTTTTTTTTTTTGGCTTGCAAAATATTTCTGTAGCTGAAGTAGAAAGCCCTGCAGTAATAACTGTAGTAAAAGCAAATGACATTATCTGGCCATGTCAAAACCCCCCACAGCCATAACCAGCGATCCAGCATGCAGTGCATGGCAATGGAGGGACTGCAGGGAAGCACTCTGGCTGTGGCTCAGCTGGTCCTGGCTTCCCATGTCCAGCCCAGGGCCTGTCTGCTGGCCCCACGGCTCTCACCACACGCCTCCCTTCTGGGGACAGACAGGTAGGAGCAATGACAGGCGTGAAGGCGGCGCGCAGACCAGTCCCATCCGAGGACGCAGTCAGGATGTGGTGAAAGGGCATGCCCTACCCTGGGAACTGCGGTGTGCTCCTCTGTCCTACTGCCTAGCTACAGCTTTTGAAGTTCCTTTTCTAAAGAGAGAGGAATATCAACTCTGAAGGACTGTAGGAACATCAGGAAAACTAAGTTTTGATTATTTTTTGGTTACTTACAAACGCAGGGTGTGCATTTACAGTGTGCAACATATTTATTAGTGCCTCAGGAACTGGGGTGGTAAATTCTTTTCTCTTTGAGAGATAATACGTTCTACTTCTAAGCTCCTTTGAGGTAAATATTTCATAGTGTGGCTTTACTGCTACATGGTGTAATATATCACACAGCAGATAGTTCAAGTCCCACAAGGAGAACCATGACTTGGTGGGGTTCTGCAGCTGAGGTGCAGAACAAGGGCTCTGGCAGACCTCACTGTGGGTGTTTAGAAACTACAGTGCAGTGACTCCAAACTTTGCACTTCAACTGCAGTGCATGTTCCTGCCTGACAATAATTTTGTGTTGGGATAGTGCAGGAGGAGAGCTGGCTGATTTTGGTGCAGATACTGCATGTTGTCCTTCAGCTAGCTGTTTGGAGCCAAGTGGGTTCTATGCCCGGTGTCCCTGATAGCACGGTGGACAGCACACACCTTGTGCTTCACAACGAGAACCCGTCCTTCCCTGAGGCAGGAAGGTTTCTGTCCTCATTCACCAGTAGCTTGTTGAGGCTTCAAATAAATTATACAACTTGCTGCAGAGTTTGTGGCTGAGCTTGGAACTGACCCAGCATCTTTGTGTCCCAGTCTATTGTCCTAGTCACTCTCTGTTCTTTGGGGTCTGAGTCAGCTCTCCTCAAACATCCTTTTTTCCATTTTTCCATTTTTTTTTGTGATTTTTTTGTGTTCTTCCCCCCCCAGCAAACTTCTGCCTTCCCTTCTATTTTTTCTTCTTGTCATTCTTCATTATTCAATCTTTAAATATTCAGAAAACTCAATCAATGGCAATGTAACACTGTGGCAAAACAGTTACAGTTGGATGATGCTACATAATCTCATTACTTATTGTGTTAGAGATAATTTATTCTGTTTTATCTTCTTCTTGTGAATAGGTTACCCTTTTCCAAACACCAGTATGTCTTTTTTTTTTTTTAGCTCACAATTAATCCTGTAAATTCAATACTATTTGCTTTCATTTATTAAAATTAGGCTCCTTTCCAGGGGGAAAGAGGATTCTGAGTTCTTCCTGGGTAAATTTATAGATTTTGCCAACGTGCAGACTCTCCAAGTTCAGACTGGAAAAAACATGGAAATGATAAAATGTCATCCAAGATAGAAAAGCAACTGAGGGATTCCTTTCAAACGTGGTCATAAGAGGCAAAATTCTTCTTCAGAGATGTTCTACCCAGCTCTTCATTTTGGGTGGAGGTTATTATAACATAGAAGCAAAGCTAATAAACTCCAGTTGTAAACTGTTGGTGAGACCAACATTGAAAGGGGAGAGTTTGTTTTGGAGGGTAATTTCAGGCTCCAAGGCATTACTCTCAAAGCACACGATGTTACTAGTGAGAGGAAATATTACACCTCACTTGATATCACTGCATTGTTTCATGAGGTGTGCTTTTGTTTTATCTCTGCACTGGTTTGGGAACATCTCTTTACAGGTTAAAATGATAGCATTTGGCTGGCATCCTTTTGTTTTCTTTGATTAAAATCATGGTCAGAGCAACTTGCTTTGGAGGAATAGTTTGATTTAATGATACTGACACTAATCTACATAAATGTACTAGTAGCTTTTATGCTGCATCTGTACATTTCAGTTTAGTGAGAATTGGCCAATTTTCCATTCGTTCCCATTCAAACATCTCTACAGTCATTTATGGCGCTGTGCATGTATTGCAAATGGAAGAGGGAAGGAGTCTTAACTTTTTTTTCTTTTTTTCTTTTTTTTTCTTTTTGTAGCCTGTTTTATGGACAACATACTGGTTTTACTACAGTGATATCAGTTCTCTATTTTTTCCCTTTCTTTCACTCACATTTTCTCTTCATGCAAGCTGGACATAGGAAATAGCATTTTTGTTTGTCATTTTTCTAGTCATTCTACTTTCTAGCTTTGATGGGGAACTGCAGTGTTAGTTCTTGCCAGCAACAGTAAAATCTTAATGAAGTATTTGAGAAGTCCCAATGGAGGACCTGCCACATGTACAGAAAATATAGAATAAATGCAGGAAATACGCAAGCCAAAGCTTAACCTTATGGATTGTCTTGTCACAAGTAGCACAGAACTGTTCATTTAGTCATTTGTATGACTGACCTTGATGAATGTTTTTCACATAATTATATGTTTCCTAGCAATTCCTCACAGAAAAGTAGGTAGCTGGTGTCATCCAGGCAATTGGTTGGAGTAGCCCTGCCTTTTGAGAAAATTCAGATCCATTTCAGATACTCACACCCACTTCTAACCTGAACAGATCACGAAGTAACTTTTGTTTCAACGGTTTTGCAGAAAGCTTTTCTTTCTGAAGATGCTGCTTCTGTGCCCTGTAGTCAGGACCAACTACTAGGACTGAGAGCAAGGAAGAGCCAAAACCCGAAGCCCTCCCCTCCCCATCATTTTGTCTTGGCACTTTTCCTGTTGCTAATTTCTGGACTTTGACAATGGCTGCACTTTCGGCAAATCAGTGCACGTTAGCACCGTCAAAACAAGAAAAGCAAAGCTAACTTACGCATTTGTAGTGCTTTAGGCAGTCTGAACAGTGACTTACTTTCTATATCAGGGTTATGCTCACACTGCTCTCTGGCAAACTGTGAAGGTAAACGCCCAAAGAGGGGAAGGCAGTGGCCATGGGGTGAGCTGTAAATACAGCAGTCTGTGAATCAAACCACTCTCTCTCTCCCACCCTTTCTAGAAATCTATCAAGCTGGCAGGCTGCCCTGCTTGAAATAAATGTGGAAAATATTATGTAACTTTGCCCTGTGTGCTGCGCTGACAGCGTAGGCACAGGTTTTAGTTACACTATCTGCTGTGGCTATTTTTGGTGACCAAAGGCTTCTCTCTTTAAATTTATGTCTCTATTTCCTTTCCCCCCACCCTCTAGTTTCAATTTTATTTTTTTTTTTCACTGACAACATAATGCAGCTCAACATCTGCAAGTGGGAAAACAACATCAGCAAAGCTGTTTAAGTGCAGGCTATTTTTTTTTCTTCTTTAAATACTGCCAGAGGAGGCATATACAGCTTCTAACTAGCTGAGCACTGAAACAGCCCATCTCAGCTCCCCACCCCTGGAGTTATATGCTGTGTCAATACCTCCCTCTGCTGAAAGCTCTACATTCTTTCTCTCTTGCTTGACTATTTTTTCCCTGTGGCAGGACTTACACAGATGAGGAGCAGTTGCGATATATAATAGAGTAGCCCGTTTGCTGCAACACAGCCACCCTACCAAGATTACATGCTCTAGGGAGTGCATAAAACTAAACTGCTCGTCCTTCCCCGGTGTGACTGCTTGCAGACTAGGATCTGAGACTAGGAGAAGATGATAATTTAGAGTCAGATGACTTTTAAAATTACTCTGTAAGGAACCCCTGCTCTGGAAGTCAGCCATTGTCAAGGGCAATCCCATTTAAAGACAATTCTACGTGCACTTATGCTTTATAACTTTAATTTCTTTCTTTCAGTTTTATTCACTTAATAAGTTTTTTTTTTGTTGTTGTTGTTCTTTTTTTGTTTGTTTGTTTTGTTTTGTTTTTTTTTGTTCTAGAAATAGTAAAATTACAGTGTGGTTTGTGATCTATTGTGCTGCATGAACTACCACGTAAGACTTTCAGTGCTGTTCAACTCAAACAGATTGAATTGTCTTAATGGTTGGAAAAATCTATGAATCATCTCAGCTACAGCTGGTGTGGTTATGAGGGAGCTCAAAGTCAAGACCTCTGTTTTTCAGAGGCTGCAGGATTAGAGACCCAAACCGGTCCTTTCTCATCTCAGGATCAAGATTTTAAAGTGACCAGCAGATTTGATTTTTCATAGTTTTTAGTACCCCAAACTAATACACCAAAAAGTTTAATGATTTTATTAAAGGGGGTGAATGATCAAATTTAGAGGAGAATGGGACAACTTTAAGGCTGAAACTTGAGCTAAGCCCCTACTTTCAGTGGAGAAGTAGAGGCAAAAGACCTTGGTCCATAAAGAATATTTTCCTTTATGGCTGCCTACTCCTCCAGAAAATTTGAAATAGTTGCAGGAATGGCTAATGCACTGCAAAGTAATAGCAGTTCATGGCTTGTTTGCATTAATAATGCTTAATATTTCCTCCTTAAGTTCAGCTGCTTCAGAGGCTTTTGATTTTCCCCTCTGTTTGGTGGCAGATGGCAACAACCACGTTACATCAACCTTGTTTTGGAAGAAGTATAAATCAGGTCATTCCTATTAACTTTTTCAACAGCAGTTTCTAATGTCTTTGGGGACTCTGGTGGTGTTAGGGATGAGAGAAGAAATAAGTTACCCCACCAAATAAATGTCTAAGGAAAAAGAATAAATTCTGCCTATGGGCAAAGTGTCTGGATGGGCTTGGGGTTAGGAAGAATACACACACACAAGGCAGAGGAAGGGTAGAGTAGAAGGCAGACAATAGGGTGCAGGAAGGAGTGCAGCTGTAGGGAATAAAAACACTCAGGGGAAGGTCATATAAGGAGGACGGGGAATCATCACATGGGTGAAGTTTTCAGGAAGGTGCTATTGTGTGGAGACTCTTGAGGAGACCTGACCTTATAAGGAAGAAATAAAGAATTACTTTTCAGAAAAAATGAAGGTAGGAACTAAGTGTTGGAGAAGGAGAATGGTGTTTGACTGAGAGTGTGGTGTGAGGTCGGGGCTTTATGGCTCTTTGTAAGGTGGCCAAGGGGGTACAGCTTGAGGTATATTGCCTTGTTTTAGTAGATAGAAAAAAACAAACACCTATGTGATCCATTAAGCATCAAGGTGAAGCCCTGTTTCTTTTATATTTATATCTACATCTATACACATATATAGTGGTTTCTTCCTATTTAATCACAGTGCAGAATATTGTGCCGTTTTGCTTTATTTATTGGATATTTATAATAGCTAGAAAAATACTAGCAAAATTGCTGGACATATGGAATGAAAATATTGGCATGTGTTCATGTTTGGTCTTTCTTCAAAATATGTTTAAATATAGAGTTTATTTGGATATCAATTCCCTTATCTGTAGGTTCTTTAGGACACTAGATGTAAATGTGGCCTGCTGACCTTAACCTGTCAAGGAGAGATGTGAAATTACTTAGAGGGCATGAAAAAAGGGATCCTTACTGATCTCTCTGTATACTTGAAGTTATTTATTTATTTTTTTGATAGTTGCTAGGTTTCTAGTGTTTGGTTGGATGTTGTTATTTCTAAGGAAAAATGCATTTATTTTTTATTTTCTTACTTCTGGTTCTCTGTTTCAGACTGCAATGTATAATTGTGAGCATATATGGAGACATGTTGCTTTGTGACTTAGTTGTTCAGTAATTAATGTCATACAAGTGTTGCTGAACTTTGTGTTAGCTTGTGCTCTGTGTGAGTCTTAGATGGATGCGGTTAAGAGTCAAGGTCCTGTTCTTTGCTTTGCAGTTCACTTAGATACTGTAAGCACTCAGCTGAACGTCTCTTCCAAACAGAGCTAGATTTAGATCGGGGTGGGGGACATGGGCTACAAAATGCGCATCCTAGCTGTAATAGGATAGTCAGCAACACATCTGTAATGCTGTGGGTATGTAGTTGTTCATACTCGGCTCTGTGACAAAGTCCAAAGCAGTGACTCAATGGGAAGCTGCTGCTGGCTTTGGGTCTCCACAGCTAGGTTCAGTTCTGTGAACTCTGGAAAGCTCTGCAAAACTTCTCAAGATGATAAGTCCTTTATGGAAGACAGATGAAATGAGTTGAAATGAGCTCTGCGCTCATAGCAGAACTGCAGCTCACTTATTTTTCTGGTTCAGATAACAAGGTATATATTTCTGTAGATGTTTTTTCTAAATACTCAAGAAGTAAGCTCCTTTCTGTATCAGTCAAGGCCTTACGTAAGTTGGTTTCCATTGGATGGTTACTTCTGATTCAGACTGCTAGGAAAGATCAGCCATTTGCTTGGTTTGGTCTATCTTTATTTGGTAGTATTTGTTCTTTACAGGGGGACTAGCACATCGGAGAGGCATGTCTGCTGAAAGGACTTCTTTTTTTCCAGCTATGTGTATGAAAATAGCATCTTGGAAGCCACTGAAGAAACAGCCAAAAGTGAATCCATGTTAAATTCCAGTCAAAGAATATTCTTTATCCTCTTTATTTGAGGATCCTGAAGAGGAAGAATAGTCTGATGGCGGGTGTGAGGAATCTTTGAAATCCAAATCCATTTTCTCTTCTAGCTTGTATTTGAGTTATCGTGGTTATGTGTGAGGTATGTCTTAAAAAGATGCAGGTGAAATCTGTGATACAGTGTCATGCTGTTACCGTGATGTGCCCTAATACTACTAGGGGTACCAATATTGTTTCGTGCCTCGCTTTCTCTGCAAGCATATCCTCCACCTTGAGCATACATTTTCTGACCTTAGAGTGGGAATGTGGTAATAGGTGAAACTGTCTAGCAGGGACTTTGGGAGAATTGTCTAGAAAAAGGTGTTATTACTCCAAGCCAGCATGCACCTAAGCTAGCTTGGCTCCTCTGTAACTGACCAAAATGTCCAGGGAAAGAACTCCAGCAGGGGAGCTGCTGCTGAAGGTATCTCTACCTGGTCTTCTGTAGTAATGTGAACTTGCTGTGTCTGTGTTATTAATAGGACCTATTGTTTTGGTTCTGTGGTAGCTACAGCTGCTCTGCTCTTGTCTCTGTGGACTTGCTCTTAGTTTTGTTGGAAAGACTGGCTTAGCTATGCCTAGTATTTGGTAGTGAGTTGCTACTAAAGTGTTTATAAATCTTGCCCAAGCATTCCTTGAAAGGATCAAAGGGAGGGAAGGTTGCCAAACCATAAGAAGGGAGCTCATATGCTTGTGTTTTCTAAATTCAAGTGTCGCTAGTTTATACAAATGCACAAAAATATAAATGTGTCAGATATCTAGAGCAGCTTGCTACAGGCACACCTCTCTTGCAAAAGCAGAGTGTCACATGTTTACATTGCCCAGACATTACAAAGTAAACCAAAAAAACTCAAGGAAATGGAACATAAATCTGAAGGGATCATTATCAGTTATGCTAAATACTCAGTGAAAACTGAGACCAGGCAAATCTCAACTGGTTTCAGGTTTTCTTAAAGTTGAAACTCAGATCAGGTTCCTTGAGAGCTCAAGAATTTCTGAGCAAACCCAGACCTGCTGAATACTTAGAACTTGAATAGCAGCTTTGCAATATATTTTCAGAGCACTTCTTATAAACCTTAATAAATTCCCTCAGCACCCATGCAATTTACAAATTTTAATTAGCCTCCTCTTACAGTCCAGCCCATAGGCAAAGAGGCAGCTTTCTTGAGGATTTTAGTATGTAACAGTGCAGCTCATTATCTCCATTGGGTGACTAACCTCCATAGGTAGGCCCTCTAGGTTCCTATCTGATTTTTAAGGACCTACAAACATTTAAAAGTATTGTACTGAACAGGTTATCCCAGATATCTTGGTGAAGTCTAGCTGCAGTGAGAGCTAAATAATCTATTTGCAATAAATACTTTGTGACATACTATAGGTCCTTTTCTGTTTTGTAAATTGATTTAATTTTAAGATACTTGACCACTATGCAGACTGTTGGGTGAGAAATTATTGAAGCATTTGTGGATAGATCATGATTTGCTCTGTAAATACTATGTTTTGAATCGTGATGCTGTTCTCACTATACCTTAATTCAATGGCTGCAAAGCTCTCTGAGAACTCTTGAGAGATGTGGAGTGTTTAGATGTGAATATTTTGGTGAACACATACTAATGTACATCTTCTGCCAATTGTTTCTTTTTGGCAGGGTTCCTACAGAGGAATGTTCTGCATTATCACATAGAGTAGTTCATTACGATGCATATGAGTCTGTGTGCACGCACAGCTCCTCTCCTCTTGGTCCCCAAAGGAATTATACAATGTATGTGTGCAAAAGAGACAGGATGGCCTCTTCATTAAGCCACTGAACAGGAAACCAGGGGAGTTAAATCCTGTTCCTGACTCTATAAGAATTTCTGCCTCTAAATCTGGGAAATTCACTTAGGAAAACTGAGGCAAGTGAAATCTATCAGTAAAATGGGAGATCAGAGTAATTTTTCTGTTGTATGTGAATACTTCAAATTGGCACAACAAAAAAATGCAAGTGTTTTAATAATAGTATGAGAATTTTGAAGGCTTGAAACACGTGCCCACGTGTATAGAACATAGTTAAAATTAAAGCAAAACTAAAAAACAAACAAAAAGCAAACAAAAACAAACAAACAAACAAAAAACAACAACCCTACAGACTTCAGATTTATAGATGGATTTTAGCCCCCCAAAAAGTTGCCTTGACAACTTTCAGTAACAACCTTCACTGTTGACAACATCAAAAGACAGATCTGTATTAATTCTGTTAATTGTTCTTAAAATGTGTGTAGACCACTTTGTCAAAAGTTAACATTTTTGCTTGAAATGTCCCTTTTTGTAATGTGGGGCAAATGAAAAATGCTGGTCTTTTAATGACATCTCTATTTGTGTACAGTCTTAGCATTTTGCCAACACAAAATATGTGTTTCCAAAACCACCAGAGAACGGAAAGTCCTCTTATCCTTTGTTCCGATTAGTTATATGGACATGCTCTAACTGCCTGTAAATGCTTTGGATTCTGTGTTTTGGCTTTTGTGTCAGTACTTGACCAAGTCTCCACTTGTTTCATGCAGTGGGATTACATTCAAGTATGTAGTCCTGTGAGCACTAGGACTAGCGAAGCCTATGCTTTGTCTTACCAATGTGGCTTGCGCAGTTTCTGTGCATTTTGTGTTCATAGACTTTGTCTCCTTTCCATACAGATTTCTGGGAGTCTTGCAAGGTTTCAGCTCACCGTTGCTTTTTCCATTAAAATATCCAGGAAACATCGTGGTTTCCTTACGGGAATGTCCTGTGTGTACAAGAAAAAATGTTTGCTAAGTCACTTAAGCTTGTTTATTGCCTTAACAAAATGATGGGATGTTTAGCAGGTCTATTTGCCCTACTTAGCTATCCATTTTAAATATAATCTTAAGTCAGTTTAGACCATGGGAAACCTGCCTTGAAATAAATCAGGTCAATACAGAGCTGTTAGATTTTTGTTTCAACTTCATTTTGCTCTTCCTGAGCCACAAAGACAATATACGTTAAACTTGCGCACAAACTCTTTGAGCAGTACTTCAGGAACCCAATCTCTTCCAAATGAGAAATCAAGACAGATGTGTAATAGATGACATCTCTTACTAGCTGAGTTGTTTAAATTCTAATTGCAACTTGATCTGCGTCCCTTCTCCAGATTTTCCTCCAGCTGTACAATCTGTCACCTTGTTGGTCCTTCAGCAGCTAGGGCTTGGTGTCTATTTTTGTTTGTCTGTTCCTGTCCGAGTCCAATGGCAGGTCCAGCTCTAGACTGGCCAGCAGTGGGTGCTAAGGGGCAAAGCAGTTGGCACCCCCAGCCAACACCAGGGAGTCTGCTGTCTCTGTCCTGGATGAAGATGCTGGGCTGGCTTTGTGTTTGGAAACCTTGATTGATAACTGCACCTGTGTGGCTGCCAAGGTCAGGCTGTCTTTGGAAGAATGTTAGATCATCACGGGCACCTGGCTTGGCGTAAGATT